TTACAAAGTTATCCTAAGACAAAAGGGATTACTTCTATGGAACCCTCACCTACTTAGAGGAAGTTAGCTCCTAGTGAGCATTTTTACAAAAAGAAAACAAAGAGATAACGAGTCCTAGGATGGGCGCTGATGATCCTCTTTATGAGGATTGCTTGTTCCTTTTATAGGGTTCTTCATTTGATCTTCATCGTTCCTTTCATCAAGGGTCTTGCTTTGTTTAAATCCTCTCCAATGGTAGCTTTGCTTCTTGCCAGCTCAGCTCCGAATAGAAATCCTCTCCAATGGTAGCCTTGCTTTTTGCCAGTTTGGCCTTAAATGGAAGTGGTCCCCCTTGCCTCTGGCTCCCTTTGTGAGTGGGAGTATCGGATTCAGGGAGACACCTCCACTCCTTCTGCTGCAGCTGACGTGGCGGCTTTTGATTGCTCAGCTTCTTTGCTTTCGTACTGTAGCAGAGGTAGCACCTCCACCTTCTCTGCTGTGGCTGACTTGACGGCTTCCCATTGCTTCCTTTGACTGTTGTTGTACTACAGCAGGCTTTTTTTTACCTTTCTGCGTGACACTCCTTCTTCTCTCTTCATTTTGTGGTTCCTTCTGATGGGCCTTAGGTGTCCTGAACAAAGCAAACTAACCCAATAGTCATATGAAAAAGATAATGTTAAATTTGCTCCAGGTCTACCTTAACTCCCACTTTCGGTATTGCTCTGGTCCACTATTCAAAACAGTTGCTCTATATGGAAAGAAGAAGGTTGAAGGGAGTGATTTATAACCAAAACATGGGTTTTGTGGAACAATTTACACTTAATGGGCCTCAACTCTTGAGGACCATCAGTGGGTATAGCTCGCACTGAACAGACCCACAAAGAGATCTATAAGGAAATCTCACAGAGAGTATCATTAGAGTAGTCTCTTTATATTTGGGTATGTCTTTTCTTAGACCAGAAGTTATTACCTAGACTGTGTTCTAGAAGGCATGCTTTGACTGTATACCTCGTCTTCCTGAAACATAGAGACTCATAGGTATACTGTTGGGCTTGTCCTGAAAGAGCATAGGGCTAGGGTGATAAGCTGAAGGAATTCGTCAAATCTCTGTGAGAGATTAGGTTATCTGTAAACCGGAGAAATCGGGATGACATTTACAGGGACTCGGGAATCTATGCATAGTAAAAAGAGATCATGAGATGATCTGCCTTTAGATTCAGTAAATTGAAGATTCCCTATTTCGAATAAAGCTTACCCTAAACCGCAAGGGTTGATACATTTCCTTACCCTAGGTTAATGGGAAGGTAACTGAGACGAAGGGAAATACATACGGCAACCAAATATGTGTAATAGGATGATCAAGTCATTAATCTAACTAGTTCTGGGCAACAAAGCATTGCTAGTGCTCTGTGTTGTCATTAGATGGGTTGTGGGCTTATTGGGCCCAAACCCATTTATGTCAGTGGCTATGTTGGACCTAACGGGTCACACGCTAACATTTAATTGTCTAGATGAACTAGTATTAAAGGTATTGGGCCTAATAATGGTCATTAGTCCAAGAAGTAGTTTGGAAGTCCACCTTGAGGGTGGAGGGCGCATGGATCACAGTAATGAGCTTGGATAGTCCAAGACACTACTAATTAATTTAATTGGTTAAATTAATTATCAAACATTTACATTTTGAATTTTGAATTTTGAATTTGAATTTTGAAATTCGAATTTTGAATTTGAAATTTGAATTTTGATTGAATTTTGAATTCGAATTTTGAATTTTGAATTTTGAATTTTGAAATTTGAATTTTGAATTTGAATTTTGAATTTGAATGTTTGAAAGTTTGAATTTGAATGTTTGAATATTTGAATTTATATATTTGAATTCAAATTTGAATTGGCTATGAAAAGTTGTTTCATAACAAAAGGATAAGATAAGATCTTGTTGGAACAAATCACTAGTATCAAGAGGAGATCTTTTGGACATGATCCAAGAAGATTGGGGCGCTGATTTTGGCTGTTGGTGAGTGTCATTTAGTCATCAAAATCAGCTCCAAAAGATACGGTCTGTTGGGAGAATATTTGAGTGAGTTGATTCAAGTTTGAATGCAACTACTCAAACGTATCTGGACTCCTTTTGGGACTGAATGGGGCGCACAGTATGAGTGATCATGTGATGACCATCAGGTAAGAATCTTGATTAGATAAAGACCTTATCTCATAAGGATTCAATGGAGAGGTTGTTGGGAGTTTTGAATTGCAACAACTCCTTTATCTCCTCATTTGTTGTGCGCCACTTTCATGGGATTTTGAAGTGAAAAATCTGATTTCACTTATTTATTCCCTCACTCTCTTGTGCAATATATAAATGTGTTCCTCCTTAGGGTTTTTAAGAAAAAAAAGACCTAGTCATTCTCTCCTCCTTCCATGCGCCACCTTGTGAGGTTTTCTCTCTGAAAACATCACTCTTCTAAACACATTTGCCTAGCCTCCTTTTTCATACATTGAGCGCATAGCAAGCCTCATTGTAGTGATCAATTGGTGGTTCTACAAGAAGGAGTTCTTGCATCTAGACGCGGGTGGTGTGGATCAACGTTAGATGGTTTGAACCCTTCAGACCTGACCTTGATCATCCTGAAGTTTCACGAACAAGGTATAATATACGTCTTAAAGCACGTATCTTGATGTGCATGTGTGTTCCGCTAGCGAAAAATTTTGTTTTTCCCTATCACATGCCTTGACCTTCAAGGTCATTTTACTTTCAAGAAGATGGTGGCACTGCCGGTGCCGAAGTAGGTGGAAGGGGAACCATCTGAAGTGGCACTGTCTGCACTGCAGTAGCCCTCGCTGTCGCCGACGGACAGTCTCTGGAGAAGTGGCCCTCCATGCCACACTGAAAGCAAATCAACTGGCCGATAGAATACGACCCAAAATGAGTCTTCCCGCATCCCGAACACCTGGGAGCAGGAGGTCTCGCTGCGCTCCCCTGAGCAGAAGTCCTCTTAAACTGATTCGGCGCCTACCGAGCTGCCATCTGTTTTCCTTTACCCTTGTTCCCAAACTTCCTGTCTCTCCAAGAAGTGGAACTACCAGCTACAACCTTCGTCGCCTCAGCAACCTTGGCCTTCTTGGCCTTACTCGTGCTGTAGAAATCCTCAATATCACGACACTGCTGAACCAGTGTCCCAAAGTCTCTAGAAGCGGAACCAGCAAGGTAACCAACAATATCCTCACTAAGTCCCCTGCGAAACTTAGCAGCCAAGAATGTAGGAGTAGGCCTCGCCATCCTGAAGTGTGCAAACTTCACCAACTGGTTGAACTTGGCCAGATACTCGTCCACAGACAACGAGCCCTGAACCAGACGGTCAAACTCTCCCTGCTGCCTCTCCTGAGCGTCATACGGAAAGTACTGACCCAAGAAGAAATCCTCGAACAATGGCCACGTCATCCGATGGCCCTGCATCTCGTAAATATGAGAAGTGTTCGTCCACCACTCGTGGGCATCGCCCTCCAGCATGTAAGTAGCGAACATCAGCTTTTGCGGATCTGTGCACTGCATGACCCGAAATATTTTGTCCAACGCCTGTAGCCAACGCGCCGCTGCAACAGGATCAAAGGATCCATCGAAGGTAGGTGGCTTATGCTTACAGAAAGCATTCAGTCGGCGATCGATCTCATCTCGATCCTCAACAAAAACAGGGACGGTCTGCATGGCCCCCGTAAGGTGACTGCCATCACCCATCTGACTCTGAGAGTCATTCTGCAGACTGGGTGGAGGTGGTGGTGGAGGCGGTGGTGGTGGTGGCGGAGGAACATGGTCAACAGCAGGACCATTCCTCATCTCCTCCAACATGACTCTAAACATCGTCATGTTCGCCAGACGGTTGGCCTCCAACACGTCCTCAGTGGCCTTCTTGTTCGCCTCTCTGTCGGCGTCTAGCATAGCCTGGTTTTCCATTCTCATGGCCTCCTGGTCGGCTTGTCGGGCCGCCTGCATCTCAGCCAATGCAGCCAGGACAGGATCGGGCTGATCCTCCGAAGTCTCGCGGTTTCTCCCGGGTCTTACCATGACTCTGCACAAGTTACACAAATTATGAGTTGATCAGGCCCACGCAATATGATCACTTATACATTATCATAATAATACTCGACGGAGCAAACACACAAAACAGACACAACCAAACATCCTAATCATTGCAATACATACAGGCTTTTCCCTTGAACCGTTGCTCTGATACCACTAAATGTAACACCCCGTATATATCCGGTAGTGTTATCATATAAATAGTGATCATCCTCTTGAAATTTTTAGAAACCTTTAATTGTAAGCATTATGACTACTAAGTGTTTTAAAAATCGGCTCGACCATCCGGGTCTCGGTGACCCAATGGGTTCCATGGTCCGAGCGGTCATTTGGATCGATTCTGCAGTCAACCCGATTTGGATTGGTTGACTCGGCCGAGATCCGGCGACTCGGTGACCCGATTGAACTTGGTTAGACTGGTTCATCCTCTCTTCTTTTCTTTTCTTTTTTGTAAATATTTTTTGTTGTTGCTATAAACTCTTGAATTAAATTATGTTCATATTTTGTGGTAAATATGATTAAAAAATAAGGTAAAAATAAGAAGATATTTTGAATTAGTGCAGTTCATTTATATAATTTAATTATATCTTATAATGATCTAAAGAAGTTAAGTGGGGATAAACACTGATGGTTTCAAATCAACGATAGAAACTTTCTTAGTGTATATTCCATGCTTACTATTTGTTATCATGATTTAGTTTATTTGTGTTATCAAAGCATAAAAAGTGCATTTAACTTACATTACAATTTTAATCGAATGTTAGAATAGGTTCTAGAGCTAGAAACCTACAAGTATATAATATTTGCTATCTTAGAAAATCAATTTATTTTTTGAAGCTAATTGTAGTTTTCTTATGTGAATTTTTGATATAAGTAATGTGTTTATATTTTTTTTAATATGTGAACAGTAAATCTGATTGAACCCAATTAAAACTAACTAAACCAATGACCCAGTACCTCGATCGAGTCGATGACCGGTCTGAATTTTAAAGTCAGGTCAACAGAAAGTAAAGTCACATCATCCACCACAACAAAACACAAGAAAAATACACCTCTAACCATTAGTTTTTCATTTTAGACAGTGCAATCCGAACATTTTTCTTCCGGAATTTATGTATGTTCCAATGGGTCTGCCCAGAAGTTTTGATTTTGACCCTATAACTTCTTTTTTTGGTGAATTTAGCATTTCTCCAAACTAAAACCAAAGCTAGCTTCATCGGTAAGACCACCTCCAATCTTCATCATCCCCATCCTCAACATCATAATCGCCTGCGCCTTTATAATCATCAAAATCCTCATCATACAAAGGATCAGCGTCACCTTTGGAAAAACCATGATGTTCTACATCCTCATCTGATGATTCGTTACTAGCATTGCTATGTTCGCGTTCTTCTGATCCACACTCAGAAGCTTCAACTTCTTCATCCTCCTCTTGAGAAATCTCATCAGGATAATCATTCAGTGGATTGTTTTCAGCTATAATCAACAAATGTAAATGAGCTTTTTAACCAATAGGGATTTGAATTAAGGGGTAATGATGAGAAAAGTTAGACTAGTAAATACCATTTGAGTCATCAGATTCATAATCCGAATCATCTGGTCCATCATAATAATCTGAATCATCAACTTGAACTCTGAGCCAAAGATACACAACAATGTCAAGAAGCAAGAATAAGAAACCTAATCAAACTTGTATATACAAAGGGTGCATATTTTCTTATGTTGTAGGATAGTAGGAGAGAAAAAAAGTAGAGATAAGTTAAATGTGGGTCCCACATTTTAAATTAAAAAAGAAAAGAAAAATTAATTGGCACGGAAAACGAATTTGTGTAGGAAAAAGTTCTTATCTCATGTAGAAGGAGATAATGATTTCCCATATACAAAATACTCACAGTGGATAAGAATATGAAGAATCATCAACCTTTATATCCATCTCGTCCTTCACAGTGTAGAGGTCATACACATAATCCTCTGTGTATGTCACATATGACAATAAAACATAACCAATTAAATTGAAACAGTTTGGAAAAAGAGAATTCAGCAATGCTAATAATTTCAAAGCATTCATTTAAAATGTTGCAATGCCATAAAAGCCACAAGATAACTCTAAAATATAATTTTTCTACATTCAACAAGAACAAGAAAATGTGTTTGCCAAGTACCAGATCTCCACTCATCTGTCAATTATTCAAATAAAAAAAGTGCAACTTAGCCAAAAAGTAGCAATACTGGTAACGTTTTAGTGGTAGCTTGCAACTAAACAACAACCTTGTTTGGAATGAGCAAGCATATCAGCTTCAATCTCTGCAGCAGCATTAGGAATAAACTCTCTTAGCATAGGGAGGTAACTAGACAAAAGTCTTTGGTCCTCCAAGGAGATATCTCTGCATTAATCACAGGAAAAGTGGTTTCTCTATGATAATTGTCCAAACATAAGCATTAATCACAGGAAAAGTGGTTTCTCTATGATAATTGTCCAAACATAAGAAAACAAGCTAACTCCAACGGAAATTCATACTCCTGTTCCTTAGATTTTTCTTCAATGTCAACACGAACAATGTCATAGAGGTGGCATATTTCTTGTAATGCTTTTTCATGCACTGTCCCTTTGTTTCCCTTCCTACTCTTCCATATTTGTTCAAAGCGAGCATTTTTTGCTAAAGACTGGGAGAAAGAATAAAATAGACATGAGTTTTCCACAAGGACACTTACGGAAATCATTTTGTTTGTTTATATACTAATATAGTGGTGTAATCCAAAGCCAATTACTTTTGATGAATTATATAACTGATACCTATGTACTTCTAACAAATATCTATGGCCTTGTCCATAAGCAAAGCAAAGATGTGCCTTACCCATTAATTGGCTTCCAAACAAAATTTTCTAAACAAAATGCAAACTTTTAAATGGCTAGGTTTTATAAGGAACCGTAAAGTCTCAAAAAAGATTCTTATTGAGTAGATTACTATTAAAAATTTAGGTGCATTAACTTGGATCCTTATCTTATTTTAAAAAACCAAAAAGTTGATTACAGACTGATTTTGTAATGGAATAACCACATCCAACCACGTACAGCTAATATAATAACATAGAATATACACCACGAAGCAATGACCAGATTTTGAACCTTGGCTCTCAGAAACAACCAAATCTTTTCCACAAGTTTATCTAGTTGAGCTAATGTTTGTGGTCAAATTCCAGTAAAGCAAACAAGTTATGGTAGGAATTTCATATCATATTCAAGGAGTAACTGATAATTTATTTTCCTAGTCTATTGGAGGCTACACAACAGGCAAGGAAATTGCGTATAGGCCCTATACCCTGAAAAAGTTATGAATGATTCAAATAAAAAATCAAATCCACGCACTTTTATTTAGATGCAGGACAATTAAGTGATTTACTCTAGAACTACCATAAACAGAATTGTCCCAAGTCATATGAAAACGAGCTTGAAAGTTGTCCTTCTCTGATCTTTTCATCTCATACACTAGGCTTTTTCTTATCTTGATGAAGGAAACAATGTATTTTTAACTTTTAAGTAATTAGAAATGCAAATCATCTCCGTAGATAAAATTTCAATTGTTTTTGAACAAGAGAACTTAGAATTATCTAGATATGAATTTGAAGATAACTCAAAATAGATGAGCCAGAGCAACTTGTCCTTGGGGGGTGGCAATTTTCAACACGATCTGCTAACACAACACAAAAAATTCGTGTTTGGATCGACCTGTTTTCGAATTCATGTCGTGTTCGTATTGGCGAAAACTGACATGGAAAAACCCGCAAACCGAAATTGACCCGCATAAATATTTTTACAAGTCATTCGTGTCGTGTCAACACGCATAATAAATAACACAAATTGGGGTTGGCAGGTTTTTTTATCGTGTCATGTCAACCCGCAAAATAAGCAACATATTTTGAGGTTGCGGTTTATTCATGTCGTGTTATGTCAATCCGTAAAATAAATAGGTCGTGTTTGTATTGAAGGTTTTAACCTAATTTCAAATTCATGTTGTGTTCGTGTTAAATGTATATGTGTTCATGTTGAATTTGTGTCGTGTCGTGTCGACGCAAATTACCACCCCTACTTGTCCTGTACATTAAGTTCTTTAATTGAAAGTCAAGGTAATATAGTTGAAAGCAACTAGGAATATAAAATGAAAAGCAACTCTCCAATCCAAACTACAAAAAGAATAGAAACAATGGAACAGTTACAAAACCAATCAGACATAACTTCAGGAAGGGGGACTGTAAGTTGAAAGTAATTCAAAAGGATGTAAGTCCACAAAGAATGCAAGGGAATGTCCCCATGTATGAAGAAGAGACTTAAATGACATTTTCAACAGGTTGAAGAATGAAGTATATATTGTCATCCCTTAAGAAAGAGCATTATAAGTGTCCAAACATATATGCACACACATAAATAGGAGTAATATAAGCCATGTAACAAACCTCTTTTTCTTGTTTAGCTTTGAACAAAAGCTGATCTTGCTTCTGTGGACATTGAAAATAGGAGATGTTAAAAGACAATAAGATTGTGAATATGAAGCGTGTTCCCAAAAGGAATTTGGGTAGAGCAGTGATTTGGTGACTTAAAGCACGTACATATGTGTGTGACCATGAATCTGTGCACATGCAAATGTGGGAGGGGGAGAGAAGTGAAGAAGAGAGGGCTTACATTATCCTTTTTAAAGAAGTTCTTTCTTTCCAAAACTTTTGAGTTAGATTCAGAAGCACCGCTGGAACAAGGATCCTAAAGAAACAGTCAGTCAATAAGGTGCATGTGTATCCAGCTTATGAAAACATGGCGCAATGATGATTAAAAATTGTCACCTATTGAGAAGACCAACTAAATACACTGAAAAAAGGCATTGCAAATGGAGAATAAAGGTACTTGAGGTGAGGGAGGGTTAATTGCAAAAAATACATGACGCTTCTCTATGTCATAGGGAGAAAGAATTGGTCACCATCATCTAGTTGGGAAACTAACCACAAAGGATTGCACAATGTCAAAGGTGACCTCAGAGCTGTTTATTGTCTCCACATGTTGCACGAAAATCTTCTTGTTATGAAATTCCACTAAAGAACAGAGACATTATATCAGGAGTCAGGCATAAATATTAAATACACATTCAATGAAAAAACGTCCTGGCAGTTTCCAGCTCTTCATTCTGTCACTAATCATCTCATTTCTAGCAAGACTTATTTATAGGGGTTTTCTTCAGGTGGGTCACTATCAAACCTTATTTTTGGTAGCACTATGACAACTTTGTTTCCGTATATACAAAAACATGTTATTGGTCAAAAGAAATCGACATCACAGAAAAAGGAGAAAAAAGAGAGAGAGAGAGAAACAAACCAAGTCTTTAACACTTGAACATGGTGGACAGTGCCTAAACACACGTTTAAGCAAAATCACCTTCTTCTCTACCATATTTTAGTATTTATGGATGCTTATTTTGATGCTTTCTGTATGTGCCGAATAATCACAGACCTTGCGACTAAGTGCCTTGTTAATTGGTTTTAGATAGACATCCTCCCATAACAAGGATGTAAAGTGAAAAGAAATTTGGAAAAACTGCACACAATGTAGGTGCATGTACATCTCTGTGTATATATATATATTCAGTGATTAAGTGGTAGTACAATATAGTATAGAAGACATAAATACCCTCCACATAGTGCATACTAATCACATGCACATAATACACTTAATTCTCAGCAGCCCCCAAGCTGAATCATAGATGTTAATCATGCCCAACTTGTTATAAAAAGTATCCGATCCTACTCCCATTAAGTGCCTTTGTGAAGATGTAAGCTATCAGTTCTCTAGTTCTAACATGTCCAGTAGATATAAGTCCTTGCTGAATCTTTTCCCAAATAAAGTGGCAATCCACTTCTCTGTTTTTCGTTCTTTCATAAAACACTAGGTTTGAGGCAGGGGATTGCATACTAGTGTGCAGTGAGGAGAATATGAGTAAAAATTAGCTTTAGGAATAGATTTGTAACAACCACTCCTTGTGACAGGTGGGGAAGGGAATGGAATCGGTTTGAGTAACAGGATAAGAGAGAAGGAAGGGAGACGAGATGGGGTAAGGAAGAATTAGATAAGGTCTGGAAAATGCTCCTAAAAGTATCTGTGCTGTCTTTAGCATTTTCTTTTTTTCCTGTTCTCTTCTTCTATAGTTGAATACATCTATTCCGGAACTGATGTTCCACTGATATCAGTATCAGTGATCGTACAAAGATAGTTGTTCAATAAAATTAAAGTTCTGGTTCCAGGTTCCAACAGTGTCCTCCAAGGAATAGGTGGGCTAAACTGAAAATTCATGGCAGTTGTTATGGAAATTAGGGGAGGGCTGGCTTTGGTGGACTTATCTGGGGAGAGACAGGTGTGAGTAGTATTGGAGTTCTTACTGATATTCATGTAGACTCGGTGGAAATTCAACAGAATTTGATCATTGCTTGGAATCATGGTTATAGCAAAATTGAGTAGGAGGCTGCGAACCTGATTCTATTGATCCAGTTAGATTAATGCAGCATGCAAATCGTGTTTTTCATCCTTAAGGTGCAATTTGTTTCTGACATGCAGTTTGTTTCTGGTTTCTTTCTCTTATGTACACCCCCCACTCTTCCAAATAAAAAAAAGCCAGAAAAATCACTTTCAACAACGAAGTATAATCAGTTATTAATATCTTCATATTATCAATTATGACAGCAAAGAAACATTATATAGTTTAGTTCATGTGAAAAGCAGGAACCCAAGGCATAGTTTGGGAAGAGAGTAGAGATAAAGTGAAATCAAGAAATGAGCTAATATATAGACTAAACTCTTTATTAAAAGAGAGATAAACTAGGCAAAACATCAAGTATATGCTATTCACAAAGAGTGGAAGTATGAAAAGCTTCAACCGTGAGAAAACATAGATAATCTACAAAAGAAGCAGAAGAAAAGTAGCAAACCCTTTTGAGCAGAATCAGAGATTGATAGATTTCCAAAATCCAAGAGTGGTCGCTTCGATGGCCTCTCATTGATTTCCAACCCTACATTGCCATCCCAAAAACACAAATATGTAAATATATATATGGGAGCTCAAATTAGAGTGAGAAAAATAGGAAGAAAATGAAGAGAACGAGATATGAAAAGAAGAATAAGGGTTTACAGAAAGCATCAAGCGGAGATTGAAAGGGTTTTCGTTTCACCCTAACAACCACAGGCTTGGGTGGAGACGAAGCCGAAGAACTTTCGGCCATGTTCTTCTTTCTTGCTCAAAATTGGAGTCTCTATTTCTCAGTCTGCTCCAACAAGTTGTGAGAAGTTGCTTAATTTCAGCGTTTTAGAGCTAAAGTAAACGGCGCGTCGTTTCTGAAGTAATAGCCTCGCAAGCAACAACAACAAAAAAACTCTCCCCTAAACGGACGCGCATAAATGGGTTACGATGATAGATTGATAGGGTCTATTCGAGAATGGGTAAGAATAAATAATTTTCCTAATCATCCAAGTTGCTTGATTATTTCATCAGATGGTTAGAGTTGTAGAAACGAAATGGGAAGAACTCAATAACTTAAAAAAAAAAAATTAAAAAAAAAATCATAATTCTGAATCTTTATTCCAAGATTCAGAATTTGAGACTTTTAATTCAAATTTATTATAACTTAAAAAATCATAATAAATTAAAAAAAGTTTAAAAATTATAGAAAATAATAATTTATGGGTCTGTTTGATTGTGTTATACATTTTTTTAATACTATTTTTATTGAGTGATCAATAAAATGAGTATTTTCTACATTTTTTTGTTTTAAAACTAAAAAGTCAAAAAGTAAAACAGAAACAATTGAAATATGTTCTTTAAATTTGATTTTAAAAATCAAAAATTAGATATAATTTTTAGAATTATTTTTATAAAATAGAGATTATCAAACATGTTTTTTTATTCTAAAATTTAAAAATTATTTTTGAAAACAGATTTCAAATAAAAAAGATGTATATTTAAATGGGAAAAGAGCTATATATCTATATAATTATGGGGTAGGATATTGTAACAACCAATTAGTGTTACTACTAACATTGTTGCCAAAAGTTAGTGTAAAAACGCAAAATCTTACGATTTTACGTTTTTATTTAGGTGATACGTATTAAAACGCAAGTAAAAACTCTCTTTAGTAAAAATTAATAAAAACTACGTTTAAAAATGTAAAAACGATAGAAACACAAGTTTTTACATTTTTACTTAAACCTAAAAATTGAATCAGGTCAACTTTTAACCCATGACCTAGTTTTTTTTTTAATAAAAAAAACAAAGAAAAACCTACTTCCTTTTCCCCCAAAAAAAAACCTCTCACGCGAGGCCGATGTATTTCCATTTAAGAGTTGTTAAACTTTATTCTTTTAATGTTGTGAAACTTGGTTATAGGAGTTGTTAAACTCTTTTTGTGTTTTTGAACTTATGTCTCATATAATTATGTGACTTATATTTTTTAAATATGAAGTTGTTCATTGAATTTTAAGTAATGACTTATGTGATTTTTTTGTACATACATACATACATACATATACATACATTTACCACCAAAAAAGTTTACAACTCTTACAACCAATTTAATCACCGTTGATTTCCATTAATCTATCGGTTATAATTTATTAGGAATTAATAAATGTGACACAATAAATGTTATTAATTTATAACCGTTAGATTGATGGAAATCTACGGTGATTAAATTGGTTGTAAGAGTGGTAAACTTTTTTAGTGGTAAGTGGATCCCTTCCCTATATATATATATATATATATATATATATATATATATATATATATAATTTTGTATCTTGACCTTAAGTAATAGAAATTTTATGTTTCATGTCGTTTCTAAATTTTACGTTTCAACCATTCCCTTCTGTTTCTACGTAGAACTCGATTTTGACAACATTGACTACCAATGTTACTGCCAATCAATTTCACCGTTAAATCGATTATGTTGATTCAACGGTTATATTTATTTCCATCTTTGTATGGTTATGATTTCTCATATTTAATACTTTATATTTTTTTCACCTTTGTATGGTTATGATTTATCATATTTAATACTTTCACATTAAATATGGGGAATCATAACCATACAAAGATAGAAATAAATATAACCGTTGGATTAACATAATCAATCTAACGGTGAAATTGATTGATAGTAACACTAATTGGTTGTTACAATATCCTACTGCTATAATTATATAATGGGAAAATTTTGGTTTCATTCTTTATGGTTATAACTAGTGTTTAGAAACCCGGCTCAGCCATCGACCTGACCGAGGTTAAGGATCAAGGGGTCACGGGTTCAACCGGGGGGACACAGGGTCATTACGCTGACCCGATTTTATATATCAAAAAAATATAAATATATATATCATGAAAATATTAAAAAACAAATCACCAATCATCAAAGATTCAAAATATACTTAACATAATTCACCAATAACAACCACAAGTTAATATTACACAACCTAATTAAAGTATCAAGATACCAAAGTACAAAACTCATATTCTAATGATACCAAAGTATCAAGAAACCACAAGTCTAGGTCGCTGTGAGAGAAGAGAACGATTAGATTTAGGTTTGCAAGTATTTTTATTTTATTTTATTTTAATAAAATGACGTTGTTTCATGGAATTTTCTTTAAAAAAATATGCAATGACTCCCTTTTACCCCTCTGACCCGGGAGTCACTGAAACTCGGCCGGGTTTTGGGAGTCGAAGGAGTCGATGTGGATATAGAGTCCAACTTGTGATCCCAATCTTCAGAGGGAAGGGGTCAGGGTTGACCCCGGTCAACCCGGGGGCGGGGCGGAGTTTTAAAACTCTGGTTATAACAATTGTTACTTAACCCCTATAATGTTTATGGGGAAAAAAAATCCCATGTGATGTGGTTTTTTCCGTACTCATTTAGCCCTATATATTTTTTATATCACTTATATTCCTTGTAATTTTTTTCATCCAAATTCATTGTTAAATCTATTAAATGTTAGGTTAATCTCTTTATTTTTCCCTTATGAACAATAAAAAATGCAGGCAACTAAGTGATTAAAAAAGCACAAGGGGGTAATAATAAACAATTAAACCGGTTTATGAACTTTTTCTTTACAACAATCAAAAAAAGAAAAAACTTGATATTAGTAACAATGTGGAACTGAATAATTATTAGGATAGACCATTGCAAATAAAGGGTATTCTGTTCAACATCATTCATATATATCTTTATATTTGCCTTTTTATACGTGTATTTTATATTTGTCGGTTGTTGAATTTGAATACATTATTTTTATGCACATTTATAGTTACTCAAGGAAAAGCTATTATTCTCTTCATAGTTTTTTTTTCTATTTATTATTTAATAAATTAAAAATGTATTTAAAAATATATTAAGAATAAAATAATAGAAATAGGGCACCCATTAATAAATCTATTAATATTTCAAAAAAATTAAGAACTTTATAATATTTAATCTTAATTTAATGACATAAAAAAAGTGTCAATAAAAATACCACGATGTTTATCTCTATTCTCATTTTTTTTTTCACAACTAGCATTAAATTTTGTTTCTTGGATAAAAATTTCTAGTGAATGTTGACCATAACACCCTTTATTTGCAATGACCATATATCCACATTAGCTCGTTGATTTTGATATTGTTTCTCATATCAAGTGTTTTCCATTTTTTTAATTGTTGTAATGGAAAAGTACAAAAACCCTCTTATGGTTTAATATTGTATCACTGACTCCCTTTTAATTGCTTACCTCTCAATGTGTTTTTTTTTAATTGTTCATAGGGGAAAATGGATAAATTAATTCAATATTTAACAATGTTAAAGCTAGACTTGGATGGTAAAAACTATAAGGGAGGTAAGTGATAGAAAACAATATAAGGGGTAAGTGATTTTAAAGCAATTCACATGGGGGTTTTGAACTTTTCTCAATTTTAAATTTATTATTTAGACTCATTGTATTTACATAATCTATCATACAACTGTCTGAATGCTAAAAATTTAAGCAAATTTGTATAACGAAAAATGGTTCTTTTTTTTTTTTTTTTTTTTTTTTGGAAAAATGGTTCTTTTAACAATCTTAATTAAACAAAAAAAAATATATGTATATATATATATATTAAATTTTCAAACAAAGAATACAATTTTTTTGAAAGAATAAAAAAAGAGAAAAGAAAAAAATATTTCATTATAAATCATTATTTCAAGGCACCCAAAAGGCCAAATTCTTTGAAAGAATTATTTCTTTCTTTTCTCCTTATTATTTTATTCCATTAAAAGATTATATTCTTTTGTCAAAATTCTAACATAACATTTTTATTTAGTTTAAGGTTGTAAACAAAATGATTTTTTCATTTTATAAATCTGCTTAAATTCGAGTAACTGAAATTATGGCGAGATATTTTTTGTACTAATTGCTAATTCTTCACAATTTCAAATGGTCAATTCTTACTCAATGGCTGTAGCTCAGTTGAGAACATAGGTTGAGTAAGTGGAAAGAAAATCTGAGTTCGATTCCTATCAAATATATCTTTGGGGAGGGACGAAGAATTTTAATTGTGACCGAGCCCAACTTATATCCGACTCAAAGAGTTAAAGCTATGAAGATATCCGAAGGACCTACTAGCTTCAAAGAGATAATTAAGGTCGTTATAAAAAAATAATCAATTCTTCACAATATCATTTTTTATACGTAGGCACGATTATGGAACTTCCAATGTAATAACTAAATAAAAAATTACATAACTTTGTTCATATCTTTATTTTTTATTTTTTTAAATTTATTTTTAATATTTAATTATGTTAATTCGTCCAAAAAAGTTATGCTATTTTATTTTGTTGGCTTTCATGTAAAGTTTTTAATTTTTAATTTTGTTTTACAATTCATGTATTCTTATAAATAAATGCTTTGAAATTGTAGAAGATAAATTCGAGTTGTTTTGTTTATTATTATTATTATTATATTATTAAAATATTTAAATAGATGACTATATGGATTCTCATAACTTCCGATGTACTATGTAACCACTCTGTGAAACCAATGCGTTTAAAATGAAGAATCACTGATGCAAGAGTTTTGATGATAACAAACAAGCATAGAAGCGACGTTAAAGATAATACAACTCGCAACAATCAAAAGTCAGAGGAAGCAATTCAAACAAGACAACAAGAGCAAATCATTCAACACACAAGATCAAGGTTGAAACATGCTCTTGAGAGCTTAGATATAATTGTAAAGGTAATTGATTAATGATGCACAAAAGAGCTCAAATGACATTTAACTCTATGCATGCATTATCCATGTCATCAATCACTTGAAGCTTTGATTATTATGAAAAAGACCCTTGACATATTTCGTAACCTCAAAACATTATGTACAAGTCAAGGAAATACATTAAAAGTGATTAGAGACTAAAAGGAATGCTTTACAACTCATAAAACTGCATAATTGATGATCTGTCAAAGAAAGTATTCGAATACTCTATTGGCTGTATTCGAATACTTATGCTAAGAACAAAGTATTCGAATACCTTGAGAAAAGTATTTTCGAATACCAGTTGAAGTATTCGAATACCTTACGAATAATATTCGAATACTCACTGGACAGTAAACAGTATAACGGCTATAAACAGCTAGTTTTGCAAAAATAAGGGTGCAAAGGGTCATGGGGGCCCTCTATAAATAGTGATCATTGTTCCCCTTGATGGGACACCTTTCCAAATCATTATTCTTGCTTTATTTCACATCATTTGCTTACTTTCCAACATCTTGATCATAAATCATCTTTGAGCTCTATTCTTGTACCTATAAGCTTCAACTTGTATAATCTGTACTTCAAGAGTACAAATCCTTTTCTAAATACTCTCATTCTGTCCATTTGTGTTGAGGGTAGTGAGACCCTAGTGAAAGAGGTTGCTCATAACCTAAGTGAGTGGAAGTGTAAAGGTTTCAAGAATCTATATTCTTGAAGGTTGTAGCGGTTTGTCAAGCACCCTTGAAGCTTGATAATTAGTGAAAAGTTGAACGAGCGGTTTCAATCTGGACGTAGGTCACGGTGGTGGTGACCGAACCAGGATATATAGTGTTTGCAATCTCTCTAACTCTTTATCTCTTTACTTTAGCATTATTTGATTACTTGAACTTATTTATATCTCCACATTACATACTATTTGCTTGTATTAATTTCTATTCTCTAAGTTTTGCTTATGCCAAATTATATTAACTTAAGAAAATCGTTTTCAAGAAAGGAAGTGAGGTATTTTGTGAAAATATTTTTTAAACTCAATTCACCCCTCTTGAGTTTGAGGCCACTTGTCCAACACACCCCACTTATAATGAATTGAAGTGTAACTAATAACTCTTTATGTACCTTGTAACCACCACACTAATGGTGAATTAAAATGTAATTATTTCCTATTCATATATAGATTCATCTATAAGGACATGACTCTTATCCATTATATTATTATGTGACTGATTGTCCCTGAAGGACATCATGACTAATAAATCTAAAATACATAAACAATTTTGTCCTTTGAGGGAAAGAAATAAAACTTCAAAGTGATATTATGAAGAGGTCAATAATTAACTAACAAATTAATTTTTCTAGAAAAGTGGCCCCAGAAGTGATATTCTGAAGAGGTCAATAATTAACTAACAAATTCATATTTCTAGGAAAATTTACTAATTAAACTCTAGAAATATGAGGAAAAATATGAAGTAATATTCGTATATATATCATTGACCATGAACCTGATGTTTAAATTGACCATGAACCCGAAGTTCACTAACTCATATGCTTTTAAGCATACTCCCCTCTTGAACTTGTACATGGATGTGAACCTTATGTTTCCCATCTGCGCACTTTTGGTTGCTTTATATATGTCCTTATGTCATGTAAAGGTTTGACTTTTACATGAGTTTTTGAGACTCAGTACAGAATCAGGTATTTGGAGCCCTTGATGGGCGAATTGTTTGATACATAATTCACTTATTAAACGTTTAGATAGACATTTCTCGGCATTAGGGGGAGAAAGTCAGAAGTTTGATAAATACTGAGAAATTATTTTGAATTGAAAACCAAATAAATTATTATGATCCACATACAAGTATAATTGAACTTGAAGTTCAAAATATCATTACCTTGCAAACTTTTGCAAGATAAATGCTAAATATTTTTTATCATAAAGGAGTGACTAAGTCTTATATCCATGCAAAAATGAGCCACTTGTAGTGGAGAATTTAATGAGATAAAAAATTGGTTGAGTCTGGTCAATGCTAGAAGTGTGAATGAGACTAAAGACATAAATTCGCAAAAAATGAAAATAAGTCACTCATCGTGCCTCTTGAAGAATTCTAGTACGTTCTGTTACTTGATCAGTATGGCAACTAATATGCACCTCAGCACCTGGAGATGCATTTAATGAATATCGTGACTGCAGGGTCACTTGACAATTATATTTATATGAAAATTCCCGAAGGATTCTCCATACCCTATATGGAAAGAATGAAATTCCCAGCATGTATAACATCGAGATGCAAAGATCATTGAAGGTGGTCTCAAACATATTATTGTCTCGGCCTCTAGATCGAGTGTCTTCCAAAAATGGTTATTTCATCAATGTTACTATATAAGTAACCTAATGATGGTCCATTCATTAGATGTGAATACAAATCCATTTAGACCAAAATTAAATAACAAGAAAGGTTTAGGACCTGAAGCTCTTAATCTTAAGTGTCATAGGAACATATTTTGATGCTAACTATAATCACATATTAGATATGCATCTATTTGTGGAAGCATTACAATGTTATGAAAGGTTGTAAAGCTAAGCCTAGTGCTACTTCCTTAATAGATTATTTTCATCAGGAGGAACGAATTAATTATGACTATCCCGGAAGGATGGAGCCTTGAAGGTTTATTATTGTACTCTCTCTTTTTCTTTGCCAAGTTTTTTTTCCCAAAAAGGGTTTTTCTTTGCTGAAGATTTTTAATAAGACAATTTGTGTAATGCTTTGATAGCTCATGCCATGTACTTTTTTTTCCTTCGCTAGTTTTTCTCATTGGGTTTTCTAGCAAGTTTTTAACGAGACATGAATATTAGTGCAATGATGTCAGTGTGAAAGTGTTATAAATGGACATTATGGGAAATTGGAACTGTTACTCCACTTCCTTAGCTCTGACAGTAGCTATATGACTTAATTGAGGAGGAGCAATACGCTCTGTACTCTTTTTCCCTTTACCAAGTTTTTTTTATCCCACTGGATTTTTTTAAAAAGGTTTTTAATGAGCCAGTCTAAGTTAGTGTATAACAAAAACTTGTATGTTAATTATGAATATTGTACTCTTTTTCCTTAGTTAAGTTTTTATCCTATAGGATTTTTCTTAGCAAGCTTTAAACAAGACATATTCATAATATATTGTCATCCAAGGAGGAGGAGTATTGTAAAATATTTAAATGGATGACTAATTCTTATGACTTTGATGTACTATATAACCACTACACTTATGGTGAATTGAAGTGTACTCATGGCTCTTTATGTACCTTGTAACCACCACACTAATGGGGAGTTAAAATGTAATTATTTTCTATTCATATATAGTCTTGACATGACTCCTGTAGGATTGGTTGATAAATGAGAATCACTATTCTTTCTTATTTCTGTGTCTGTTCTTTCTCACTTTCTCTTGTCTTTTTATAAAAAAATTTACATTATTTTTATTATTATTATTTGAATTCCATGATCCTAATTATTCGTTTGGGGCAAATTAGATCCCCCAAATATTCCCACAACTCGTACCGAGAAAGAGGTTTATACAAGTATGAGACTAATCTCAAGTCAAATAATGTAACAACCAACGCTAGTCGCAAAGGTGCCCTCCAAGATTCAAACCCCTTACTCTTTTTTGGCAGTTCGTCCAATACCATACTGTACTTCAACCAACCCTCAGAGTTTGTTATTGTTTTTTTTAAATAGGGCATTTTTTGACATTTTATTTATAATTTAGCCTTTTATTTATTAAGGGTATTTTAGACATTTCATACAATAAGGATATTTTTTGCATTTAAAGATCTAAATAATACATTGTGTAATCACAAACGATCTAAACCATAAATTCAAAATCATAAAGGATTAAGTGATAATTAGCCTTTCCCCTTATATAAAACTCTCTATATAATGAAACAATATATTTTTCCACCTCAAAATCTCTCTCTCTTTATACATTAGCTACTTTTCCATTGCTGCTCCTATGATTTTCAGTTTCATCTACTTTCATTTTAGAGAGGGAGAAGGGATTTTATTTCATTTGTTTATGCTATTATTTCATTTTCATATCACATAAAATGCATCAAGGCGATTTATTTCCTATACTTATGTATTTCATAAAGTGTAAATGTATAGATGTTTATTTTAGTATTTGATTAAATATGATATTTTTCATTTTCTGTAAATGATGCAAAATTTATTAATTTGTATAGCATGTAGTACTCCATGAACTTGTTATGAATTGTGTGAGTTGCAAGAAATGCACTTGATTTATGATGTATAAGATGTTGGAAATGGTTTCGTTGGAATGAATGATTTAACTAAGATATTGGCAACCAACTTTGGTTTAGAGAGAATAAGGACAGAAAGAGGAGTTTGAAGGGGTGAACATGGATTTGGGAATAAATTACGAGGGCAATCATAGGAGGCGGTGAGTATTGACAAGTTTAAAAGGTTGGAAAATTGCTATTGCGTATAAGTGTTAAAAATTACTGATTTAATTCAAATGATATAAAAAACGAGGGTGTGAAGACACGAAATGATGAAGTGAGTATTTAAGAAATGGATTATATTTATCTTATGTTATATAAGATAAATAAATTTTCTACATACACAAAGTGAAGATGGATTCCACATTCATTTTTTTTCTCTTTCCTCTTATATGTGTGTCTCATTTGTAATTTTATTTCTATAACATAAGATAATCATTTTCCTACAACATAAGATAAATATAGCCCTTAAAAAATTTACTAATGTTGCTTAAAAGTATAAATAAGCTGAGCTAACATCACATCACAATCTGAGCAGCACTTCAGATTTTCTATACTATTATAATAAATGGAATATATACTTCTCCAGCTATATAAGAAGAAAATTTTTTCCTGCGGAGACATCGATAACAATATTTGTTCATTTTTATTTTTTCTCTACAGATGGTCCCACATTAACTGTGTCTGGAAGTGAGAGAACTTCTCCTTTCAATATAAATCCCTAAATAAATTGATACATGACAACACTGTTCACATGTCCCTCCTCTCCTTTCAAAATCTTAAACCCTAACTTGAATCAAGTCAAAATATCTGTTTGAATTTTATTTAATTTTGCATAGAGTCCATCCTTGAGCAGAAGTTCATCATGGTTTCCCATCTGCAGAAACACATTATGCATTGACGTTAAGCTGTCTATAAAAATACAACAAAATAGTGCCAGAATCTTGTGTGGTTCCAAGGCATTAACCATATCATTACGCAACGATATAATATTACAACAGTTTCGTGTCTGAACCATGAAATCAGAGGAGTTATAGACTAAAATGTTAGAAATAGTAACTAAGTTCAACTGGAAATCACCTCAATGATTCGACCATCATCCATAACAAATATCCTGTCAGCAGCTTTTATAGTAGAAAGCCTGTGAAAATTTGGCAATTGTTATGCAACCAATCTTAAAAAAAAAAACTAAAACAAAGCAAAATAGTTAACAAGTCACCTATGTGCTATGATAATGATGGTTCTTGATTTAGATTCATCTTTTAATGCATACAGCACCTCCTAAAATATTACATGACACGAAAACAGCAGCAGCATGCTCACATTTTCTTTTAGATAAAAATGGAAATTAGAACTTTAAAAAGCTAGAATTTTGAGAAATATACCTTGATATCATGCTCACTCTCAGCATCTAGAGCACTGGTTGCTTCATCAAGTATCATAATCACTGGGTCCCTAAGAATGGCCCTGGCGATGGCAATCCGTTGCTTTTGTCCCCCACTAAGTGCATTATCATCCACGAGGGTTTCATAGCCATTAGGAAGTGAAGAAATAAAGTCATGGGCAGAGGCCTGTTTTGCTGCCAGTTCGATATCTTCTTGTTTTATTTTCCTAGGGCAACCATATTCTATATTTGACTTGATGTCCATGTTAAAGAGATGGGGTTCCTATTTGAAACAAAAAAATTCAGAAAATGAATTTATAACTAAGTATAACAACAGTTTCAGCAGTGTAACCTGCGCAACATATCCGATGTTCTGCCTCAGCCATCTGATATCCAACTCTGTAAGAGGGAATCCATCAATATATATCTGTATATGAATTTAGATTACATAAGTAATGATTACCAAGAATCTTTGCGTATATAGACACGACTGACAGTCACATCACATTTCAAATTAGTCACAACATATCATAGATCAAAAGGCTAAGGTTTTATGGCAATGTAAATAATATGCAATTTTTTTTATATATTTAGTTGGAGAATTTTTTTTCAAAAATTATACTTGTTCTGCTTTGCTCGCATTTGTTTCAAGAGAATTTCTATCACATCAAAATTGGATAGCTTAGTTGTACTCTATAACCTCTTTGTTTGCTGTTTTATTTTTATTTTCCTTTTTACGAGGATTTATTATTGTTAAGAGTGTTAGTGTTAATAGTGTAGAAGTCCCACATTGAGTGTGTCTCTTTGTATTCTTCAATTGGTTTGCTATATAATAGCACCAATGTTGTGTAGTTTAATACAACAAGGATTACTATCATTTCCTCTTGTATCTATGATATTTAACATGGTATCAGGAATCTTAATCCGTTTAACTTAGTTCTATTTTCCATAATTTCAATATGGTTATAGAGAGATATCACCCTCCATGAGGGATTCCCGTTGCTATTTCTTTTTCGGGTTTTTCTTAGTATGCTCTATGACTGCAGCTTAGACTGATCTGTCACATCAGAAAAGAAGATCCTTGGGAAGTTGTTGGGTTGACCACCGTTGTCGTTGACCGACCACCGTTGACCGCGTCATCCACCGTTGACATCCGTCTCCGACGACTTTTCCGGTGACTTTTCCGATAACTTTCCGGCTACTTTTTCGGCGATCCACCACCGTCTCCGACGACTTTTCCGACGACCCACCGCCGTCTCTGGCGACTTTTTCGATTCCGCGAAGCTTTGTTTTTCTTTAATCTTCTTTCTTCCCAAGATGGAGTATTTATACTATTCATCATCCATCTTGAGGGGGAGCACTGTCCAAGTTGCTGATGTTGTCTCCGCTGATGTTAATTCTGACACCGAAGTTCCTCTTGAGGGGGAGCACTGTCCAAGTTGCTGATGTTGCCTCCGCTGATGTTAATTCCGACACCGAAGTTCCTCTTGAGGGGGAGCACTGTCCATGTTGCTGATGGTCATTCCAGCACAATTGTCTTTGCCGATGATAATTCCGGCACAGTTTAGAAGTTCCTCTTGAGGGGGAGCACCGTCCATGTTGCTGATGGTCATTCCAGCACAATTGTCTTTGCCGATGATCATTCCGGCATCTTCCATGTTTAGAAGTTCCTCTTGAGGGGGAGCACTGTCCATGTTGCTGATGGTCATTCCAGCACAATTGTCTTTGCCGATGATAATTCCGGCACAGTTTAGAAGTTCCTCTTGAGGGGGAGCACTGTCCATGTTGCTGATGGTCATTCCAGCACAATTGTCTTTGCCGATGATAATTCCGGCACTGTTTAGAAGTTCCTCTTGAGGGGGAGCACCGTCCATGTTGCTGATGGTCATTCCAGCACAATTGTCTTTGCCGATGATCATTCTGGCATCTTCCATGTTGATGTTCATTTCGACGCCATTTTTAGCACATTGTTGATTTTTGGTTTCTCATTTAGGAGATTTATTTTGATGTTATGTTACTTGGTCTTTCTTGTAATAAGCTTGTAGCATGTAGCATAGTCAAGGGGAAACCACGGCTGCTCACCAACTGTTAAATGAAATGTCTGAGAGGGATCTTGATGCTGATGTCCTGGTCAGCTCAGTTGTCTTTGCCGATGATAATTCCGGCACCATCCATGCTCTGATGTCCATTCCAGCACTGTCTCTTTATCAGCTCTTCAGACTGATGGTCATTCCAGTTGATATGTTGTACTTAGTCATTTCATTTCGTTGATGTAGCATTGTTGTTTTTGGTTCCTAATGGGAGTATTATTTATGTATCAAGCTTGTAGCATATGATCTATATGCTACAGCTTGAGGGGGAGTGTTAAGAGTGTTAGTGTTAATAGTGTAGAAGTCCCACATCGAGTGTGTCTCTTTGTATTCTTCAATTGGTTTGCTATATAATAGCACCAATGTTGTGTAGTTTAATACAACAAGGATTACTATCATTTCCTCTTGTATCTATGATATTTAACAATTATCATCTCCAGCTTGTATTCACTCCTTTTTTCCAATAATATCCAAAAGAAAATATATCTGCTATGTTTCCATATCACACATATGCAGAGAGAGGTAAAGATGTCAAGAACAAAACGAAACTTTAACAATAAGTAACAAGCAGAAGTAAAATATAACACATTCATATTCAACCAAAATGCACATCTTTATGTGTCTATCAAGTATCAACATGATTTATGGTAACAAACTATAGCTCGTACAGGCTTATAGGCCTGCAGATGCGCCATTTCTAGTCAATATTAAAAAGCAAGAGGCTTTTCAATTCAGGAGCAACATTGTCAATTATTTACAAATATTATAAATTATTTACCTGACCACTACTAGGCTCATAGAGACGAAGTAAAAGGTTGAGTAAAGTGCTCTTTCCACTACCACTCAGACCAACCTTGTCAAGGTATAGATGTCCAGTTAACCTTTGAGCATCACCAACATAAAATCACTAGGAAGAAAAGAGAGAAATCTTACTATGGCAATGACTTGATTTGCTTCTACAGTGAAGTTTAAGTGTTCTAGAACAGGCATCTGTTCAGAAGTCAGAAAAAATTGAAAATTAACAAGTACTTAAATCAACTATGAACACACCCATGCCTCAGAATTGAGTGGTAAAAGGGAAGCAAGGTAAAAAGAGAAAGGATTAAAAAGGATTGTAAGGATGCCAATTCACCGAATATTACAATGATCAGTGATTGGGTTAAGAAAATATGTTGTGATATGTCAATTGCATGTGATACGGGGACTAACAAACCAAAGTAAAAGGAATTGAGTACAACAATGCAAGATCCTTAATTTATTTTTAAAAAATGATATGTCAAGATCCTGACCAACCCCTAGCCCATAAAAGGATAAAGAGAAAGGAAGTTAAACAAGTAATAATGCATACAAATACACTATGTATATCTTCTATTTATTTTGGGGAAGGGGGCGAATACAATTTATATATGACACAATAGTATGTAAGAAGGAAAGATATCTTTCTAATGGCATCAGCAACATGGGTAATGGTGGCTTTGTGATGCCGGAGGCTGCTAATTCAGGTGGTTTTGGGAGGAAGTTATAGCATCTTTGGTGAAGGGCAGGAGAGGTGATTTGCTACCATAATGGTTGCAGCCATTTCTCTACTAATGTTGTGGTTAAAGTAATGGATGGGACATCTGGGTGCTTATGATAGAAAGCAAAGCAGTAATTAGCTGTGAACTCGTGATGAAACCAGTTTGGTAGTGTTGAAGCTGGTGGCAGTTACATGAATGGCTTACAGAAGGCGAAGGAAATGTCACATATAAGCTAATAATAATCCCCGAATGTAGTTTTTAAATAGTCATATGGCAATGATTATTGTTGATTAAGTGCTTCGGTAAGTTATTAAATAGACATAAAGCTAGTTTGCATTTAATGTAATATCAAATGCCCAGAAAACCACAAATGACCATATGCGTTTTAATTTTTAAGCTGAAGTGACTAACCAAATATTTCTTATAACAAATGGAGCAAGAGACACCCAATATAACAAAAACACATACCATCATCCTTGCAGGATAATGAAATGATACATTTACAAACTGAATATGCCCCATTAACCTCTGCAACTTCACTCCTGTACGCAGTGGGAAGCACGATTAAACAATATATAATTCCATACCTGAGTAGGGGGAGCAAGGGACTGACAGTTACTTACCTTTAGCTAAAAATTGGTCACTGGGCAAAAGATTCATCAGTTGGAAAGTTTTTTCAGAAGCTCCAATGGACTGCAATAATGATGATAAACTGTTTGTCACCCTCCAAGTAGCATAAATCAACCACTCGCAGTACAATACATACTTAGTAAGTTGCTCCACAGTTACACAACAACCAAGAACAGACATCCCTCCTAACAGCACTGCAAATATCTGCAAGTTGTAATTTAACAAATAAAAAATAAATTAGATATTTATCTATTACAAATGGCCAAAGCATAAAAAAGTTCTAAACCATTTGTCAGCTCATGAATGTCTACGTTTCAAAGTTTATTATAAAATAGCCAGGATAGACACCCAACTCTAAAAACTACCCGACCTACAATTCAAGAACCAAAAAGTTCCATCGGAAAATCCAAGTCATACACCCTTTTCCATGCTCACCCATGAACATACAACAGGACAAGTGGCCTAATGATGATAAACAATAGCAAAAAAACTTGAACTACTCTTTATGAAACATACCTTTAAATTTAGACATATACAAAACTTTTTATAACATTTTTTTTTAAGGACTAGTACGGTGAAACTTAAATCTTAGAGAGACTAATTTGGTGATAAATCTTCAGAGGGTTAATGTAGCAACACCCTAATCTTTAGAGGACCAAATTGAGGGTTTACTCTAAAAATTATAAAGGCGAAGAGGTACAAAAAAGGCAAAGGATAACTCTACTCCCATTTCTTATTCTTTTTTAAAATACGTAGCACGAAGGAATTGAGCATGCAATTATTGATTTTGAAACTTTTAATAAGCCAATGACCCAAACCTGAGTTGAACGGTATAAGGTGTTAAAGCTCAAGTTCCAGAACCCATAAGCAACGCTCTCTCGACGGTTTATATATGCTAATCTCTGTAGCCATTGCTTGTACCTGATTAGATATAGTACGGTATTATGGATATCAGTATTATTGTAACAGATATAACCATTACCAAAATAATGATAATTGATTAACTTGTATATACTTTTAGAATTATCTTGGAATATCTATAAATAATCATATAATCATCTATAGATATTAGTTTCTTTATTTTACTAGGATTTGAGTTAGGTTTGGGTTATCCTTTAAGCCCATTAGTTTCTCTATATATTGTACATCTTTATTCCTATTGAATAAAGTATTGTAATATACATCATTCATTATTCCCAATTTGGTACTAAAACTTGTGTTCTAGGAAACTTTGCTTCTGGATAAAAACCTGTGCATCATACCAGCAACCCATCTTCAGTACCAAACCCTCAAAGAGTCGCCAACCGCCCATCCTTAGCCTTAGATAGTCAGAAAACCATTGTTTGCCGCCTGAAACCACTGTTCACCACCATTTTTCCGACAAACAACAACGTGATTAAGAGTTCCTTGAGGAGGCGACGTTGTTTGTCCAAGCAGCACCGTCGCCAAAGCTTTGACTCGCAGCCACATACCAGAAGAAGCTCGAGGTGTCCGTTTCCTTTTTCCGACACATGCGCCGCTATTTCTGGCCGGACCACCACATAATTGATCGTCTTTTCATTCTCTTTGTTCTAACACTTTTTGCACTAGTTTCGTATGATCCCTTAACTTTTTTTGTTTTCCGATCGTCTCTTTCGTTCTTAGAGGCCCATGAATCTAATTTGTAATGGAGGACTCAAGTACTATAGTCAAAAGCACTGCCGACATTACCTCAGCTATTGTCCCGTCCATTACAACAATGAAACTAACTGGATCTACTACTTATAAGACTTGGTCTACCTCTGTTAAAATCTGGTTTGGAGAAGATAGATCTCAGCTCCTGAGTATTCTTTGGCAATCTATTGATCTAGTAGTTATTGATATTTTCATTCCCTTTGAGACCTGTTATAAGATGTGGGAGGAAGCAAAAGCCTTTACACAAATGACATCCAACAATTTTATTATATTGTTTCTCGAATAATGGAATTGCGCAAATCACCAGAGACTCGAATGGAGGCTTAAATTGGTAAGACTTGTTATTTGATACAGGAGTTCTTAGCTATGCTACCTCATACTGTTGATGCCTTTGAGTACAAAAAACAAGTGGAGTGTTTCCATTCACCAGCTATTATATTTTATACAGGACTATAATCCTTGGAAGTACCCTGAATTGACGAGATGACTGGTATAGGTGAGCTGTTGTATGTTAGTGCACGATTGGGGTTGTGCCATGTGAATGATGCAGGAAGTGATGCCATGTACTAGTAAGTGGACAATAATTTATCAAATTTGATATACAATGTAAGGCATAATGAGGATGAATTTTCTGAGGTGTGATTTGAAGCAGTCTGTAGTGTGCGTTCATAGAGAGTGGAGCCGTTAATGTGTGTGTTAATCAAATATGAGGAAATAATTTTTGGCTTCGAGTGATGTTGTGAACTTGTGGGATTCTTGCCTATGTGAAATGAATAATAGCTTGATTAAGCATTGCCAGATTGAATAGATGTCCTTCTAGGAAAGCTTGTGATGATTAAGATTTTAAGTTAAGGTGGTGACCTGTTAGCCTTTAATGGAAGGTTATTGTGATGGAGTCAAGTACGTGTGTGAAAATAGCTGGTGAATGGAATTATGCTTCGTTAAATAAAAGACTGATAGCTTTGCCTTACTGGTAGAGTGACTTGTGGAGTATTAAATATTTGTACATGCAACTTATGGTGGAATATGTATTGAAGATGCACCATGTTAATGTTGTTTTGGCTAGGTACTAATGATGTATGGTCGTGTGCTTGTATTAGCCTTGAATATTCCGAGAGATTGTATATCCACCGATGTTGAATTATAAAAGTAGTGACAATGATGGATTTAGTTCCATATGACAGGATAAGTAAGTTTTGAAAATCCCTATATGATGGGACTTAATTGTAAGAGATATGATATGATAGATTTGAACGGTACATCAATGGTTAAATGTAATGATTATGAGATTGGGGTATACAGGAATGAAATATATGTGGAAGTTATGGCATGAGTGTGGAACGATATGTAAACACAATTGTTGGTAGAAATCTTAGGCATGGAGCCTTTAATGTGAAAATCAATGATGGATTGTATGTTAAGCCTTGAGATGACTAAGTTGAATTGTAGGTATAGCCTTGTATATAAAAATTCATGAGTGGATTCGTGGTTGAAGGCTTTGAAATGGCCAATATGATATATAAATTGTAATGTGAGGTCTATTAGGTAACAGTGAAATGTTTTGAGAAATTGATTCGTCAATGTGTTTTGGTGGAAGTTAGTAAACCGGTAAGGTTAGATGCGGTATTAAGGTACAGAAAAGGTGCCTGTTTTGTATCGAGTGCAGAAGTGGAATTGCACGTTCTTAGATTAAGAACATGAGTAAAGATATATGTATGTACAACCTATGGCTAAAGGCCGTAATTAGGGATTACTCCCCCGAAGACTAAAATTACCATGTGCGTAAACTATATGATTAAATCGATGAAATTGCACTGAGGAACTGTTGATATACCAAAAGAGTATTTAATGTGGACTAAGATGTTTAGAAACTTTGGTTGTATAACAAAGTAAGACTATGTGGAAACTGGTATTGAGAAGGATTTAATGTTGAAAGTTATATATTTCGTAGGAATAAAACTCAACTAAGGATAACTGCTGGTTGAAATGTGTCAGGGTGATATGCGCCTGTGAGGCAAGGATTGAAAGTTAGGAAGTGATGAATTGAATTGCCCTGGATCTAGATTGGATATGATCCTACGTGGATATTGTTGACAAACTAAATAGATTAGCAAACTTTCCAAAATAAATTATGGGCTCTATATGTAAGATAACCCAATTAGTGAAAATGAATTAGTCAATCAGAAAAAGTTCGCAACTGCGACGTATGCTCCGGATGATCACATGTGGTGATACTGGATGATATTGAAAATTGGAAGGACCTGAAGACTCCAATTGGTCATATTGAAATGCTGGACTATAGTGAAAAGAGGCTAGGAAGCAAAGTAACTCCGATGTTAAAGATTCAGTGGAAAAGTCGTACACCTGAGGAGGCTACTTGGGAATGGGAGGATGAGATTCTCCGGCTGTATCCTGAGTTAGCGGATAGGTATAACTTAATTTTGCGGAAAAAATTTCAAAAAGGTGGTGTGAATATAACACCTCGTATTTCTAAATGTGTAATTATATATGCTAATGTGAATTAAAAGGGTAGGATTAGTGAAAATCCTGAAATTAGGGCCAAAATAGGTAAAAAGGACAAAATGGTAATTTACCAAACACGCAATCCTAGGCATGAAAAATTGAGTAAAAGGTCTCAAATGGTAAAAATAATGCCGGAAATGGATTCAGGACGAAAAATTGAGTGGACAGGCAAGTTTCGAAAAATTTGATGAATAGTGATTTTACCTGTGTAAAATACTGCGGTATAATTGTACCGATAAGTGCGAAAATATGATCAGTATTTTGAGGAAATAAAAATATGACGTGAATGAAAAAAATACGTAGGTTATGAATTTGTGGGTTAAATTGGGTGATTTAAGAAAGTTAAATGACATGTAGGACCTACTTTAAGTGATTTAAGTGGTTTAAGTGATTCAAACACATAAAAAACTGAACACTCTCTCTCCTCTCTTCTCCTTCATCGTGTTCTTCTCCACGGAAATGGGGTTTTGAAGATTTGATTTTCCAACTTTTTTTCTAGCCATTTTTGAGAGAAACTTTCAACAACAAAGTTATTCCCCTTGAGATTGTGAGTGACTTTCATGTAGAGTGCACCTTGTGGGGAGCATTGTGGAGGGAGAAATCCTCCATATACAGCCACGAAATTTGTGTATTTTGGGGAAATTTTGGTGACTTCTGAGTTGATTCATTGGTTGGAGATCACTCCCTTGGATCCTAGGGAGCTATTAGTGGTAAGTTTTCTCACTTTCATGGAGTTTTTATTGAGATCATAAAATGGATGAGTGTTTGATTATGTGTTGGTTGGTTGATGTGGTTAGGGGCTTTTAATGATGTTGCTCCTTTAGAATTAAATGCTTAGAATGATAAATGATGATGATTGATGCAATAAAATTTATGGTGATTTGTAAAGTTGTAACTTAGTGAAATTTGGAGTTGAATTCCAATACTTTGTGAAATGGCATGATGATAAGATTGGGTAATTGGGTTGTGGAGTAATTTTATGAGTGAATTATAAGATTGTATGATATGTAGAAGTGTTGGAATGGATTGGAAACCTTGAAGCATGATTCCATGTAGAATTCGACCTATAGGTTGGTTTAAGGAAAAATGAGGTGATGAATGTGGTGTAATCAATGGTTAATACCTTGGTGCATAAAGGGTCAGTTAGTTTGGTGATGGAAATGATTGAGATAGTTGAAGAAATGAAAAATAGCCTTTGGGACTTGGTGATTATAATTAGTTATAATTATTGTGAAATTGATGGATTGTTTGCAATTGATTGATGGTCATGGTTGTTGATCATATAGGTTGCCTCTCACGGACGCAATAGTGGAGGATTGAACTTGGAGCTTACGTGTGGAGCATTGCTCTTGGATTAGAGGTAAACCTTTGGAACTTGGGTTTTAATCCCTTGTGTGCTCCACCACACCCAGTGGAAGGTTGTGGTTGGATTTTGTGCTTTTTGACATGGTGTGAATATGTATGTTCATGCATTATTGCTTGATTGTGTGACATGCTTGGAGCATGTTGTGTGTGAAATTGTGTGATCTCTGGCCAGTAGATATGTGTTGGTTTGGACTTCCGCTGGAGTTATCCTTTAGGGATTCCGGTCGGGTTTTGCCGTAGGGCCGACTCTGGGAGCGGTACCAAGATGATCCAAACGTGGGACTTCCGCTGGATAGGGCTCATGAGGAGTTCCAGTTGAGTTTTGCCATGGGGTCGTCTCATCCATGGAAGAGGCACCA